TCTCCCTCTTACACCAGTTGACAGAGCTCAATTCAGCACGCTTGAAAGAGAAATGGCCACTAACTATGTTATATAGAAATTCCAGGCCTGCGTAACGTCACGGTGTTTGGCCGCTGCCAGAGCTGTATGTTCACACACTCTTCATAAAGCTCAATTTAACTTCTTGTGTGTAATAAATAGAGTTGCCAGATCGTTTGAGCCATATGCGCTGTATCAGCCTCAAACACACACAGACGGGGTCTTTCGCTTATGGACTGGCAGCGTTTTGGGGACTGAACGAGGAAATGTGATACGCTGCAGCACCTGGGACTCCTGCAGCAGACAGGATGTGTGTTTGGGCTGTGCTTGACTCCCGCGTGTTTCTGCTCTGTATATTATCATGCACTATTGCCCTGTGGCCTGTAAAGCCCCGGGCTCCTTCTGAGCCTGCCAGTCAATCAAGACCAAAGCTTAACACTAAATTTCACTGCAATTTGGAGCAGCTTTTATTATAAGCAAATAATACAATTACCTTTGAAAAGTCGTATAAACAAATAGTTGTATAGACATATCCAGACATAAAGACTTATCCATATCACATTCCTGAGAGCAATCATCAAATGAAGTGGTCCAAATCTATTTATGTGCATTTTAATATTGTGTGGAACATGTGGGACCAAGAAAAGTTTGTCCTAACAAATGTTACGATCTTATCTGCCTGTCAAAATATGTAATTGCTTATCTCTGCACAGCCTGTTTAAGCAGAAAGGATTTTGTTATTGGCACATTCGTGGATGGCAGGCAAGCATTAACAACCTGCCTTCTGTTTTCAGTTTGGTATTGTAATTATTAACTACTATAAGGCGATGCGGTGGCGCAGTAGGTAGTGCTGTCGCCTCACAGCAAAAAGGTTGCTGGTTCGAGCCTCTGCTGGGTCAGTTGAAATTTCTGTGTGGAGTTTGCATGTTCTCCCCGTGTTCGTGTGGGTTTCCTCCAAGTGCTCCGGTTTCCCCCACAAGTCTAAAGACATGGTGAATTGGGTAAGCTAAATTGTCCGTAGTGAACAAGTGTATGGATGTTTCTCAGAGATGGGTTGCAGCTGTAGGGACATCAACTGCATAAAACATATGCTGGAGCTATGTTATGTTATGTTATGCTATCCAGTTGGCAGTTCATATTACTGTGACGACCCCAGATTAATAAAGGGACTAAGCCGAAAAGAAAATGAATGAATGAATGTTAAGTGATGTTATACACTGTGCATTTAGGAGGCATGTTGATTTGCAGGATGGGTTGCTATCAGACTAACGTTAGCATTTTCCAAAATCTCCTATTGCACCTTTAGCAATAAAGGCTACATTGTGATTTGTATACTTACAAGCAATGGTTCTATGACGACACGGTGGCACAGTGGGTAGCACGATCACCTCACAGCAAGAAAGGTCGCTGGTTCGAGCCTTGTGTGGAGTGTGCATGTTCTCCCTGCAAAAAAATTTAAAGTCATTCCAGTCTACATGTCTAACAGCAGATTTTATTGTAATCCAGTACATTAGTTTATTCATTCATTTATTTATATTCTTTTCGGCTTAGTCCCTTTATTAATCAAGGGTTGCCACAGCAGAATGAACCGCCAACTTATCCAACATGTTTTACGCAGCGGATGCCCTTCCAGCTGCAACCCATCTCTGGGAAACACCCATACACTCTCAGTCACACACATACACTACGGACAATTTAGCCTACCCATTCACCTATAGCGCATATCTTTGGACTCGTGGGGGAAACCAGAGCCCCTGGAGGAAACCCGTACGAACACGGGGAGAACATGCAAACTCCACACAGAAATGCCAACTGACCCAGTCGAGGCTTGAACAAGCGACCTTCTTGCTGCAGCGACCAATCGTGCTACCCACTGCACCACTGTGCAGTCCAGTTTGCAGACTTATTTACAGAATGCAGATGCATTTTGATTTATTCGGACGCTCCTGTCTGAATTTTGTTCATGATACCATTTCCTCCCTGCTAGCCTGTTTCTATGGATTCTAACTGGTTAATCATGTTCATTCAGTTAAAACAACATTTAGGGTCTCTCAGTTAACCACCTATTTAGGCCTTCATTTGGTTTCTTCCTTAGTTGTCGTATACTATACTAATATAGAGTAGTTCTGTAATGACTATATTGTTCATCTGCTGCAGCAAAGATCCTCTACTCCTCTTCACTAGTTGAAAACATGACAGATTACAAGATATGAACCTAGAGTAAAGCTGCTTTTACTGCTCAAGCTAATATTTTAATTTATCTACCACGAAAAATATTTAAACTTGGGTGTCAGCATGCATGTAAAGTGATTTAATAATAGATAAACAGTAACTAATTGAATTAGAAGTTATTTATGTAGCTATGGTGATGACAAACAGCAGCATTTAAATACTGAGATTTAAAAAACACAAAGTTGACAAAAGCTAAATATCAATCAGTGAATCATATGAAAACATTATTTCTTTGACACAAAAAAAAACTTCTAGTGATTATCATTAATTACTCTTCCTTTGTTTAAGGCATTCTGGCCAATATTAGTCTGTAATACAAGCATATCATATTTTCAACATTCAATACAGTTTGAAAGAATGTTAACAAGACCAAGATGTACTAAATACTGAAACATTGCTTTGTGTTATTTAGAGATCACAGCTTTGTCAGAGTTCTGCATTCTGTCCCACTAGTCAATGCAATGCATGTAAACACTTGGTCCTGTAGTCCACCAGAATTGTTCAGATTGCAAAGTAACCAAAAATGTGTTTTAAAACGCTTGATTTTTAAAGCCAACTTTCAAAAGTTTTCAGAGCTTTTAGGCCCCTAAAATAAATTTGTTACCTAAATTAATGGTCAACACATAAAAAAAAATCATTTGGAATAAATGCCCCATTTAACCCACACATACTTCCATATGTTGGTAAGAAATTTAGCAAAACTGAATTAGCAGAACTTGAATTTCACCATTCCTTATTAAAGCTTTAGGGTCACATGGTCCTTCTTAAATCATTTAATATTTGATCATGAAACAGAAAGAGAGAGTGTTGCGTGAAAGAGAGGATTGGGTGTGGCTACAAATGTCCAATAGTATGAAAGAATAATAGAGGTGGAGATACATACATCAAGAATGTAGGCATCATAGAGAAAGAGAGAGAGAGAGAGAGAGAGAGAGAGAGAGATAGACAAAGAGAGCACAAAAAAGTGCATGTCATGTTAAATGAATATGGAAAAGGGAAAAGTGAGCGAGTATAAAAGAAATAGCGCTTTGATAGACTTTTTCACCCCACATAATCTGGGGTGTCAGATCGGAGAAATGGAGACAAGTGACGTTTTAATATTACTTATTTTTGACACTCGCACAGCATTAAAATTCAAACACCCCCACTCTATCATTGTAAATGTCCAAAACTCTTATTGAGAGTTAAGACTTGCCCATTATTCCCAGTAATTTGCAAGACACACACACACACACACACACACACACGCATTGCCAGATGTCTTTCCCTCCGCTCGTCACTGAGGAGTTTCTCTGTACAAACAGCAGGGGTCACTTAGTGACCCTTTGAGAGGTCAAAGGTTGGGTTCCCAGCCTGATGTAGCCATGGTGATGGCATCTGGAGATTTGCAACAAAGTGGGAATCTCCTCTGCTTGTCAAACTCTCGCTCCACACACACACACACACACACACATGCTTCTGCTTGGGCTCAGTTAGTTTATGATCACTGTAATCCAAAAAACGTGGATGCAATCATGAAATCCTTCATTCATTCATTTTCTTTTCGGCTTAGTCCCTTTATTAATCTGATGTTGCCACAGCGGAATGAACTGCCAACTTATCCAGCAAATGATTTACGCAGCAGATGCCCTTCCAGCTGCAACGCATCTTTGGGAAACATCTATACACACTCATTCAGACTCATACACTAAAGACAATTTACCAACCCAATTCACCTGTACCGCATGTCTTTGAACTGTGGGGGAAACCGGAGTACCTGGATGAAACCCACGCGAACACAGGGAGAACATGCAAACTCCACACAGAAACAGCAAAAGACAAAGCCGAGGCTCAAACCAGCGACCTTCTTGCAGTGAGGCGACACCACTGCAATCATGAAATCCAGTCTTAAAATGGAATTAGATAAAGACAGAATAAAAATGAATCTGACAAATTTTAGAAGAATAAAGGAGACTGTTTTAGTCCCGTGAATATCAAACCGAAAGAGAAATATGAAGTCTGCTGTATGGGATATATGGATGAAAGAAATATAGAGGTTCAGCATGTTTGTGTCAATAAATGACACAGTTTGGTTTACTATATAAAATCTGTTTTGTACATGTTCCTCTTACTATTTGAGGACAAATCCACTTGTAGGTTATTTCCAGGCTTGATCTGAGGGTCACTTTACCAGAATTTGTCTATTTTATGTGAGAAAAGCTATCTTTACAGCATATCATGTACAAAACAACAAAACAAAAACATTTTAAAGGGTTTCATACAATATTTTGGTAAATTGATTAAGAAATTGTTAAATCTTCATGGTTGATGTTGTTTCATGACTTTAGTTACACTCTTTTTGAGTCCTAAAACATTTTATCTATAAAGTCCAGAAAAAAGAATGAAATGGAATTTTTTTTAATGATAAATAAATTAAAATAAGATAAACAAATGTTTAAAAACATTTTAGAGGGTTAAAAAAAAAAAATATATATATATATATATATATTTTTTTTTTTTTTTTTAATGTAAAATTTAGAATAAATTGTTGCTAAATATATTTCATGTTTTTAGTTTTAGTTCATGCTATGGACCCTTTTCACAAGCCTGTTATGACGCGTTTAACAGTCATCAATATCTTAAATCCTTAAAATTTTTTAATATTTAGATTTTTTTAAATGCAAGAACATTTAAATGTATTAATAAATGTATTATATCATCTTTGTTTTAATTTACAAAAAAAAATAAATGGGGGGGGGGGGGGGGGTTAATTAACTTAATGAAAAAATAAAACAGATTTCATAGGGCACTAACACTTTTAAATTATAGTGGACACCAAGGCTGTTATGAATATATTTGTATAATCTTGTTGGTCTTGTACTTAATTGCATACAGCAGAGGGTTTGTTGTGCATGTATAATCAGAAACCAGGACACCAGCCGCCTACATTATCCTATAAAGCACTTGTCCTGATATACCTGGGCAGCAGCTGTCCATCATGGCTGACAGTGGAGTCCAGAACAGGCCCGCAGGGCTGCAGCGGCGGCTCTGCTGTCCCCGTCCTTGAGCTCTTCTCTCTCCATGGCTCCAGATCCTGGACAGCTGAAGAGCAGGACAGAAAGAGCTGTGTGCATCTGCTGGTGTGAAGTCAGCTCGCCTGGAGGCTGGCATTACCACAGGGGTCAGCGGGTCATCGCTTTCTGGGTGGCTTCTCTCGTTTCATTCTGCTGAAAGTCACGATGCAAAAACAGTTTGAGAGCCGTTTCTCATGAGCTTGGCTTGAGAGTTATGATAAATGGCTTCCTAAATTACTGGAGAGCTGAAGACTCTTTATTTAATTGTACTTTGGTGGTATCTAAAGGATTTTGTGGAATATATTTCATTGAAGTGAGATGTTCAAACACAAACTTCATTAAAACAATTATTTGCATGAAAATCTCAAACAAGCCCTTAGGAAACCAAATATTGAATTGTTGCATTTTTTTTTTTAAATTTTGAATGCAATTGTTTTCGCTTTAGAATCTCAAACTGTGCTAAGATTGGTCAAGATGAGTATGAACATGATGTGATTGTATCACATCAACAATGTTCTCATTTATATATCTACCAACATCTCTTTTTAACAAAAACATTCATTCATTCATTTTCCTTCAGCTTAGTCCATTTATTCATCAGGGGTCACCACAGCGGAACGAACCGCCAACTTATCCAGAACATGTTTTAAACTTTAAATTATTGTTCAATAATTTAATTTGGAAAATAAATTTTATTTTATTTTAAAAAAATTACTTCTTCACGGAAACGTGAATTGATCAGAAGTTACAGTAAAGACATTTATAATGTTAAGAAAGATTTCTTTTTCAAACAAATGCTGTCCTTTGAACCTTTCAATCCATCATAAAGAGTATCAGAGTTTCCTTAAAAATAGTTAAGCATCACAACCTTTTTCAATACTTATAATAATAATAATGTCTCTTGAGCACCAAATCAGAATATCAGAATGCTAAAAATGCAGTTTAAAAAAAATAAAAGTAAATTTCAAAACATCTCAAATTGTAAAAATGCAATATAAAATTATAATAATATTTACAAATTTCCCTCTATTCTCGATCAAATAAATGCTACACATACTAAAACTGCACCTATATACAGTTGAAGTCAAAACTATTCTTTCATTCATTTTCCCTCGGTTCCTTTATTCATCAGGGGTCGCCACAGCGGAATGAACCGCCAACTCTTCCCAGTATTGGGAAATAGCTGAGTAGTTATCTAAGCTAAAGTTGATACCAAATGACTTATATTTGAGATATTATAATGATAGTGGTAATAATATATTAGGGTCAAAGCCAAAAACTTTTTTTCCCAAGCATTTTAAAACAAAGTTAAATAGGTTATTTTAAAAAGTAAAATAAGTTATGCACAATCACTTTCTATTTTGTAGGTTTTTTTTTTATTTCTAGACTAAGTTTGATGCAGAACATCTCATGGATGAGAAGGATGAGAACATCTCATCCTTCACATATCTGTAGTCTTTTTTCAGGATTCTAATGTAGTACTGCATTAATTTGCTAATTATTATTCACGAACCATACGAAATATTGTTAACAGTATGACATTTTCTACTGATATATTTATTCTATGATATACTCTAATATATTAGTTTTTTTCCCAAGCATTAAAACATGACAAAATTAAAGAAGCTATTTTAAAAAAGTAAAATAAATTATGTAAAATCACTTTTCATTTTGTAGTTTAGTTTCTAGATTAGTTTGATGCAGAACATCTGCCATTCTTCACTCATATGTAGTTTTCTTTCCAAGATTCTAATGTATTACTGCATGAATTATTTTGCTAATTATTATTTACAAACCATACAAAATATTGTTAACAGTATGACATTTTCTTTTGATATAGCCATTCTATTATATAGTATTAAAATAAATACAATTAACAGAATAAAATATATTGTTCAAGGTTTAGTGTCAAGCATTTTTTTTGAGAAAAAAATAGAAAAATAAGCTTCTTCACGGAATTGTGAATTAACAGTAAATGTGAAAAGTGTAAAAAAGTTACAGTAAAGTCAATTATTATGTTATGAAATATTTCTTTTTCCAAACAAATGCTGTCTTTTGAACCTTTCAATCCATCAAAAAGAGTATTAGTGTTTCCTCAAAAATAAGTAAGCATCACAATCTTTTTCAACACTCCTACTAATAAGTAATGTTTTTTGAGCACTAAATCAGCATTTTAGAATGGTTTCTGAAGGACCATGCGACACAAAAACTGGTCTGACAATGCTAAAAATGCAGCTTTTCCATCGCAAAAATAAATTCAATATCAAAACATAGCAAAACCTAAAAATGCAATATTAAGTTATGATAAAGTTTCCAAACTTCCTTCTATACTTGACCAAATTAATGCAACTCTTACTAAAATTGGGCCTGTACACAGTTTTAATCAAAATTATTAGCGATCTGGTGTAGCAAAAATTCTTTTTTAAATGTTTCCAAGTGCTGTTTAACGTTGAGAATTAACTTGTCAACACATTTTGAAACATTTGAAAATTTTTTTGTTTTTGCCATGTTGACAGTACATAATATTTTGCTAATTATTTTGCAAGATACTAAACTGTAAAAAAAAAAAAAAACATTCTTGCTGCCTTCATTTTTTATTGAATCAAATTTAAAAAAAATTTCATCTGAACTTACATAAATGAAACTGACTAATTATGTTAAAATAAACTTTGTATACCTTTAAACCTGATCAACTTATTAATAAGTTAAAGCAACATAAAAATATTTGTTGTCATTAAGATTTTTCAGATAATTTTTTTACCGCGCAGCATTCTAGGCATATTATAGGCAAGTTTTTGGAGAGCAATAGTTTGTTCAATCGAAAAAAATAATCTTAAAAGGAGCTAATAATGTTGACCTGGAAATTCAAAACTGCATCTATTCCATTACGAATATTAGAAATAGTACTATCATATTAGTTGTAGATACTGTGTAAATGTCCTTGCTCTGTTTGCCGTTACTTGGGAAATATCTGAAAAACTATTCAAATTTCACAGAAGGGCTAATAATTTAGCCTTCAACTGTATGTGTGTTTCATCCAGTGACAGGTACAGGGTGAGCATGCCAGACAGCTGTCTTTGGGGGCGTTTGATGTCCACGTTGTAAATTCGTTGAGGGTCTTTTCAGCGATATCTATCTGACAGGCCCGTGTGGGTGTGAAGTGTGCATGTGTGTGACTCAGCGACCTGTAACTGCTGTAACATTAGACATTAGACAAACAGTGCGGTGATCAGATAACGGTCACACCGGCCTTCTTTGATCTTTCTTTCAATGTCTCGCTAATGTCTGCATGACAATAACAGTCAGGCGCTCTGGTTTTCCAGCATGCTGGATGATCTGACGCGTCCGGCTTGCTTTTTCAGCTCTCCATCTTTGCCGTCAATCACACGGCTGAGTTACAGAGACGCCGTAGGCCTGGCAGACGAGGAGGAGAGTGAAATATCTCTTTGTGAATGATCCGTCTTTGTGAATTATGTGTGAGAGAGAGTGTGCGTGTGTGTGTGTGTGAGGGGTTCCCTTTCTGTTCGCTGTTCACAGAGATTGACCCTGTGGCTGTAAACTACTCTCTCTTGACACACACACAGAGGGAGAGAGAATGAGGGAGGGAGAGAGAGACGCTACATCGTGGATGATTTTATGCCAACTTTTTCCTGTTTTGAGCATTGACCAAAGACGAAAACCATGTATTTTTAAATGGAGCCATGGGGAAGTTGCTGTTGAATTGTGGAGCACTGGTGGTCATTTTGGAAAGACAAAGAATGGCATCAAAAGGGGCATTCAAAACTATTTTAGCTTGCTTTCGTGGGACTATTTCTCATTTTCATGAAGTAAAAATGTAAACTGAAGACAAAATAATGAACAAATAAAAAATATTTAAAAAACTATGACTAATTAACAACATTAAAGCAATTAAAATATTTAAGAAATGAAGATAAATATCTGTAATTTCTATAATCATAGAATAAATATTAAAAATGTACATTTAATTTCAATGAACAGCTGCATATGCAACATGCATATATTATTATATATGGCACAGTGGGTAGCACAATCGCCTCACAGCAAGAAGGTTGCCGGTTCGAGCCCCGGCTGGGTCAGTTGGCGTTTCTGTGTGGAGTTTGCATGGTCTCCCCATGTTCGCGTGGGTTTCCTCCAGGTGCTCCGGTTTCCCCCACAGTCCAAAGACATGCGCTGGGTAAGCTTAATTGTCTGTAGTGTATGTGTGTGATTTAGTGTTTATGGATGTTTCCCAGAGATGGGTTGCAGCTGGAAGAGCATGCGCTGCATAAAACATATGCTGGATAAGTTGGTGGTTCATTCTGCTGTGGCGACCCCAGATTAATAAAGGGACTAAGCCGAAAGGAAAATGAATGAAGGAATATTGCAAATCTCCCATTCCACCATATCCCAAAGGTGCTCACATTATCCTGCTGGAAGTGGCAATCAGAAGATGGGTATACTGTGGTCATAAAGGGTTGGACATGGTCAGTAACAATACTAAGGTAGGCTGTGGCATAGACATAATGCTCAAATGGTACTAATGGGGCCAAAGTATGCCAAGAAAATATCCCCCACACCATTACACCATCATCACCAGCCTGAACCATTGACACAGGGCAGGATAGATCCATGCTTTCATGTTGTTAATGCCAAATTCTGACCCTATCATCTGAATGTCACAGCAGAAATCGAGACTCATCAGACCAGGCAACATTTTTCCAATCTTCTATTGTCCCATTTTGGTGAGCCTGTGTGAATTGTAGCCTCAGTTTCCTGCTCTTGGCTGACAGGAGTGGCACCCGGTAAGGTCTTCTGCTGCTGTAGCCCATCCACCTCAAGGTCAGACATGTGGTGTGTTCAGAGATGCTCTTCTGCAGACTTCGATTATAACAAGTGGTTATTTGAGTTACTGTTGCCTTTCTATCAGCTCAAACCAGTCTGGCCATTCTCCTCTGACCTGTGGCATCTACAAGGCATTTGTGCCCACTGAACTGCCACTCACTGGATATTCTCACTTTTTTGGACCATTCTCTGTAAACCCTAGAGATGGTTGTTCCCAGTAGATCAGCAGTTTCTGAAATACTCAGACCAGCCCGTCTGGCATCAACAACCATGCCACATTCAAAGTCACTTAAATCATCTTTCTTCCTCATTCTCATACTCGGTTTGAACTGCAGCAGATCATACTGACCATGTCTACATGCCTAAACGCATTAATTTGCTGCCATGTGATTGACTGATTAGAAATGTGCGTTAATGGGCAGTTGGACTGGAGTACCTAATAACGTGAGCGTATATTAATAATAGTATGTTAAATAATAATTATATGAATTAATGTAATACACTAATAATAAAGTTGTTTTACATTCTAATCTGTTGGAGGAGGGGGGGAAATACAGCCCACAAAAAAAAACTGGGAAAGTATCATGTGGGAGATGCAGGTTCACGACTTGCAACACATTCTAAACAAATCCTTTTCTCCCTCCCCAAAATCCTCCCCTCTACATACAAAAAAAAACTTACCACCCACATTTATAAAGCTGTCCCGATTCAACCGCTACTCACTCCTGTCACATGAAAACCATCAGCGGCTCCACTAACCCTTTAACACTGCTCATGTCCTCAAGTGTGGCGCTGGTGGTGATTATAACCAACCATGGCGCCGCTGGTCAGTGCACCAGTTACCATGGTTACCATCACCATGCCACTCCGACTGGTGCCCAAACGGTAACAAAAAAACAACAGCGATCAATGAAACAGACTAGACTGTATGTGTACACTTGGGCACCTACACATTGGCATGCAACTGGAATACAGAGAAAGCAAAGGTGGTCCCTAAAGTCTAGAGCGGCTGGCAGGAAAACAGATATCATTATGGAGCTGTTTGATATGCATACTGACACACACACACACACACACACACACACACATAGACAGAAGCACCTGACACTCCATCATGATGTCGTCCCTGTGCCTCCCAAGGGGCCGCAGGCACTCGCTGGCGTCAGAAACACATTACAGCGAGAGATTGAGGAGCCAGAGGCCATTATCTCCCCTCTACAGCACACAGCGCCGCTCTCCTCCTGCAGAGACACACAAAAAAACACTGCATCAGAGTGTGTGCGGACGTCTGTGAGCGTGCATGACGAGAAAAAAAAAGAGTGATATTCTGTCTGTTTATTCCAAATTTATCCAACTGAGATATTAATGTGGCTTTAGCAAACACGTGTTGAAAAGAAAGCAATATCTTATGTGAAAATTGCCTTTTGGATATTGCATTTGTGTGGAATATACTGACTAAAAATGTGTGCATTGGCTCTGTAATTGTATGTAAAATAACGTAATATTGAAGAACTGATGGTTTTTTTTCTAAGTCTGGAAACAATGGCAAGATTGGTGGCCTGTAATCTGTCTTTGTATTTAAGCCATTGATATTTTTGCCCAAAGTATTGATGGCCTTATTTTGACAAATTGATGTTTTTGTCATGATAATGTTCTTTTAATCATATTAAGATTTGCGCCATTGATGTTTGAAGAGATGCTTCATTGATGCATTGAGACTCATCCGAGTTTGTAATTTTGCATGTTATTTTAATCAGATAAATATTTAAAAGTTATTGATGTTCGGTTTTATTAAGCGGCTGTTTAAGAAGCGAATGTTTCGTGGATGTGGTGGATTTATAGGACTTTCGCTGAGTCACAAGGCAGCAGTTTATTGGGATGGTTTGAAAGCAGTTTTCAGTTTCTGTTATAATTGTGTTTGTATACATACACATTTATCAGTCGATGTTTAGGTTCAGTAATTTCATCTTCATGAATAAATTAATAGTTGGCTTTTGAGGTGCTTTATTGTCAATCCATTCAATTAAATCCCAGTTCAAGACACTTATCAGGCTGATAAAATGTTAATTGAAAAGAAAAATGTTATACATTAATGTTGTTTTTTCTGTCATAAAAGTACCAAAATTTTTCATTTATAATCATACTAAGTCAACATAAATTGACTTGTGGCATACAGTGTTTTGTATAAAAAAATTATAATAATAATAAAAAAATAATAAAATAAAAGGATTAAGATTAAATTAAAGGATTAATTATTAATAGCAATGATAATAAATAATAATAACAACAATATAAATGGCTCACTTACTCTACAAACAATAAGGGGCAATATGCACAGCTAATGTTTTTCAGCCAATTGTGAACTTCCGGTGAAAGATTTATGTGTCTGTTTTGCATTTCATAAGGTTCCTCTTACAGCATTGATGTTGTAATGCAATTCAAATATAATCAATTAAATAGACTTAAGCATCCATTAGGTTGTCAAAGCGTAAAAAGATACTAAATATTATTTAAATGCAGGCACCATCATTAGCAGCAGGTAAAATTTATTTCCATATTTTAAAGACATGGCACAAAAAAATATAATTTAACGCAGTGCTTCTTGTTTGGTCTGATACCCACTTTGTATCGGATCTCAGCCAGGCATTGAAGAGCACTGTTTTTTTTTTTTAAAGAAATCAGATCTTAAACGCATTGATTTTGTATGGGATGGCAATTCACCGGAAGCCTGGGGCTGGCTGACTGAAATTAAAAGTCCATGTTCATATACCAATTCAAGTAACCTAAAGAAAATTTATGCATTTCTATAACACAATGAAAAACTCCATATTGCAGGGTTTTTTTAATCATGAAGCCCCTGATTATATGGCTTTGACAATCAAAATAGATCTAGATGATAGATGATATTATCATATTGATATTATTGTTATATTGTCTGTAGATATGTGCAGGCTCAAATTTTTTTCTATCCTCAAACACATTTGGCCAAAAATTCAAGTTATAAACAATTATAAGACTAAATGGCAAATGCTTGATTAAGACCATCGTTTCCCTCCCTCAAATTCAAAAACACAAGCAATAACAGACAAAACATATTCAAACAACCAACTCATAATTTACCCTCATATTGAGATCTCTCAGGTATGATCCAACGTGCTCGACGAGACATTCAAAATGGAGGAGGGGCGGAGCTATGACGTGTAACTCTTTAACTGTCACTTGCCCACAAGAGGGACATTTTCAGTAGATATATTTAATAAAACAATTTTTTTCTAAACTTATCTGGACAAACTATACATTATTTTTAAGGTGGAACGACTATTAAAAGGGTAATAGAGTTTAAGGGTCCTCATAAGTAGTTTTCATTGGTTAATTACTTGAAAAACTCACAGACGGACATAAAAACTGACCAATAGCATTGTAAATTGTTACACTTTGTTTTATTTATTGTTATTACAATTATGTTTAATGTGTTGGTGTGTGACGGTGCAGTGGCGCAATGAGTAGCGCTGTCACCTCACAGCAGGTGGCTGGTTCAAACCTTGACTGGGTCAGTTGGCATTTCTGTGTTGAGTTTGCATGTTCTCCACATGTTGGCGTGGGTTTCCCCCGGTTGCTTCGGTTTCCCCCACAAGGCCAAAGACATGCGCTATAGGTGAATTAGGTAAGCTAAATTGGCCATATTGTATGTGCGTGAATGAGGGTGTATGGGTGTTTCCCAGAGATGGGTTGCAGCTGGAAGGGCATCCGCTGCATAAAACATATGCTGGATAAGTTGGCGGTTCAATTCGCTGTGGTGACCCCTGATTAACAAAGGGACTAAGCTAAAAGAAAAGGAATAAATGAATGTTAGCGTGTGTGTGTGTGTGTGTCTTGTATTTCATACATTGTGGGGACCAAATCTCCTCATAAGTGTAGCACTACCAGTAAATTAAATTTGCACTTTGTGGTGACATGTTTTGGTCCACATGAGGAAAATGGCTTATAAACCACACCGAATATAAGTAATTCTAAAATGTAATAAGACATATTGTTTCCTGTTTAGGAGTAGGGAGATTTACATTTACATTTTAGAATATATAGTCTGTCAAAAATAAAAAATCATTGTGTGGGAAGTCCCCATAAAGATAAATGTATGAATGTGTGTGTGTGTGTTTGTGTGTTAGTGTGTATCTTACCAGGCAGGGGTCAGAAATCAGGATCTCCAGGCAGGACAGATGTTCTTCTGAGTCTGACAGCGTCCGCAGCAAGTCATTTCATTTTATCTAAAGACAAACTGTGCAAAGCTGTCTGAAATGGAAGGAGAGAGGGAGAAAAAAATGTCAGAAAGACAAAGTGCAAGAAAGACAGAGAGCACTCGGGAGTCGCGGACAGATAAAAAGCCTCTTTAAGGGGTATTACAAGCAGCTCTTTCATTTGCTCACTGACACACAATGAAGAATTAGCACGAGGCTCTGCTGCTCGACTCCAGCAGTGGGGAAGCACCGGGAGAAGCTGGAATCTGTCGCTGTAACACACAACATTCATCCACCAGCAATTAACTCAGTCTAACTAATCAAGACTTGTTGGGAAATACAAAACAAGGGTTTGGAGGGAGCGATCACGTGTGGTTCTTACAACGGCATCATACAGTCATCTGGCCAGAAAATATGGCACTGACTCTGTCTGTGTTCAAAGCTGTTGTTCAAACAGTTGCCATGGTAAATAAGACATCACACTGATATATCTTCTAAGATGTTGTTTATATAATTTTTAAATATAAAAATCATTACTATCATTACATTTGTAAAATTACCATTTACAAATTGCCAAATTTCCAAGCAATTTTTTTTTTAAATATAAAAATATAATTATTAAAATGTAAAACTAGGTGGCTTGGTGGCTCAGTGGTTAGTCGCCTCACAGCAAGATGGTTGCTAGTTCGAGTACCGGCTGGGCCAGTTGGCATTTCTGTGTGGAGTTTGCATGTTCATCCCGTGTTTGTGTGGGTTTCCTTCAGGTGCTGCAGTTTCCCCCACAGTCTATTCAGTATTTCCCCCAGTATATTCAATGGAGTTTTTACATTAGCCTGCTGATCCTGATGGTCTATTTAACTGAATGCATTTTAATTACGTTACAACATCGATGCTGTAAAAGGAATTTTATGAAATTCCAACATATTTAATCTTAACAGTTATTACAAAAAAAAATCATTATTTTCAAAAATCTATTGTGTATATATATATATATATATATATATATATATATATATATATATATATATATATATATATATATATATATATATGTGTTTGTGTGTTAAAATGTTAAATTATTTAATTCATTATTCACTTTCTTTTCGGGGGTCGCCACAGCGGAATAAACCGTCAACTTATCCAGCATATGTTTTACGCAGCGGATGCTCTTCCAGCTGCAACCTATCACTGGGAAACAACCATACTCTCATTCACACACATGAACGATGGCCAATTTTAACTTACCCAATTCACCTATACCACATGTTCTTTGGACTATAGGGGAACCCGGAGCACCTAGAGGAAACCCACGTCAACATGTGGAGAACATGCAAACTCCACATAGAAATGTCAACTGACCCAGCCGGGGCTCAAACCAGTGACCTTTTTGCTATGAGGCAACAGCACTAATCACTGCACCACAGCACTGCCCAAAATTAATTACATTTAATTCGAAAATTAAAAATAAAACGAATCCAAAATGCCACAAAATATAAAAAAGTCAATCATACCTAGAGCCAAGACCTGTACTTTATTTTAAAATAATTTAAAATCTAAAAAAACAACAACACAAAAACCAAATGAAAACTTAACAAAATAAACTTTGAAAATCATGAATCATACCAATAATTATATTTGTGGCTCAGTGGTTAGCACAGTTGCCTTAAAGCAAGAAGCTCACTAGTTCGAGTCCTGGCTGGGTCAGTTGTGGAGTTTGCATGTTCACCCTGTGTTGGCATGGTTTTCCTACGGGTGCTCCGGTTTCTCTCACAGTCCAAAGACATGCGCTATAAGTGAATTGAGTTAACTAAATTGGCCATAGTGTATTTGTCTGAATGAGTGTGTATGGATGTTTCCCAGTACTGGGTTGCAGATGGAAGGGCATTTGCTATGTAAAACATATGCTGGATAAGTTGGTGGTGCATTCCGCTGTGGCGACCCCTGATAAATAAAGGGACTAAGCTGAATGAATAAATGAACTATTGTAAAATAATAATAATAATAATCTAAAACAACCTTTAAAAACAGAAACAAAAGGGGCCTTCCAGTATATTCATGTCATGCCAAAGTTCTGGACAAGAGTACATAAACGGTAAACCTGCCATTCAGCAGCTTTTAACTGACATTTCAGCTCAACACCCAAACTTCATCTGCTAAAACTCAGCTTGTCAGGTTGATTTCGAGTTACTGACTTTCATTGCCTCTATGCAATAAAATCACAAACACGACACGATAACTGTCACAACAACTCATAACATTTTACAGAGACGGTCACGGCTGAACTGAGCCTGTTTGGATCGGTCACTTGATAAAAGTCATTCATCACGAAAAACGCAAACTGACGACAACCCACATGTTCACACTGTAACAGAATCGCAGGCTGACAGAGATGCTTGATGAAAGTGTAAATGACAAACGCTTAATCAAGCGAAATGTAACATCAACAGCCACAGGGGCCGCAGTTAATGAGAAGTAATGGAAGAAGCCCTTCTGGGGCCCTTTTTCCCCCCTCCAAAACGCAGGAATGTAACTCACACCATTTAGTGTGAATGGCGCGCCGAGGAATGCTTAAAATAATCAAAAGCTGAGATTTATGCATTGGCAAAGGACTTCTGAAAATAGTCTGCATGGAAAGTTCTCTTACTTTCCAGCCATACTTCATTTTGAAGCTGTTCTGTTAGATGCATTTGACCTGAGATCTGTTCACTTTATGATTCAGCATTAGTCAGATATCCGAAAAACAACTCGAATTATAAAATGAATTACATGGGGTAAACTGTGCACATTTGTTTTTAAATACAAATAAGGCAAATAAGGCTTAGTTCCTGATTTATTTGGGTTACGACAACGGAATGAACCGTCAATTACTCTGGCATATGATTTATGCGGCAGATGCCCTAACAATTTTAAGTACTCGGTCAAAATTTGTTTAATTTGTGGGAAAAAAACACTGCATATTAAAGTCTGTGTGAACCAGAACATGCTGAGCCTTTTATTTTGCCATGTTAACGTATTTAAGTAAGGGTCGAGACTTTCTTTTTTTCCCTACTAGCAAACTAAAAAAATAATATTGCTGCTTATTCAAACTGTTCAAACTCAATTCTTAAGTTTTTTGGTGGGACAATATAATTGTATGATGTTCAACTAACTAAAAATTAACTAAAAAGATCTGATTTCTTAAAAAAAAAAACTGCCTGCCTGAGATACAATATAAAGTGGGTATCAGACCATACCAGAAACAATTAAATTACATTTTTCCATGCCATTCATTCATTCATTCATTTTCTTTTCGGCTTGTTTCTTTTATTAATTTGGGGTCACCACAGCAGAATGTACCGCCAACTTATCCAGCACGCTTTTACGCAGTGGATACCCTTCCAGTCACAACCCATCTCTGGGAAACATCCGTACACACTCATTTACACACATACACTAAGAATAATTTAGCCTACTCAATACACCTGTACCACGTCTTTAGACCCGGAGGAAATCCAAGCCAACATGGGGAGAACATGCAAAGTCCACACAGAACCCATCCGAGGCTCAAATACGTAACCTTCTTGCTGTGAGGCGAATGTGCTACCTGCTGCGCCACCGTGTCACCTTTTTCCATGCCATGTCTTTAAAATATGGAAATTAATTTTACCCCTTTTTTTTTTTTTTTTTTGCGCTAGCCTGCTGCTAATGATGGCGCCTGCGTTCAAACGTTTTTTGGTCTCTTTTTATGCTCTTTTCATAAATAAATAAATAAATGAATGAAAAGTTAAATAAAAGCAAAACTCTGGAGAATATGGTAAGATTAACTCATTCTTATAACAATATTTACCACTTGATTGATTACATTAAATTTTGAAAATTATATATATATATATATATATATATATATATATATATATATCGCAAAAGTTTCCTACAAGGTCTTTTAAATGTGCAAATGAGGCTTATTTATTTAATTAGACTTATTTAATTAAACAATCACTAATTTGCATACATTTCCAGCACAAAAATCTTAACATTTTGTTTAGGATTCAGAATTCATGATCAAAGTTAAGTTTAAAAAAAATATAGCACATTTTTTAAACATATTAATGTAAAGATTTGTTAACTAAAGGGGTTTTGAGAATCTTTTATCACTCCTTAATTCAGAAAACATTGCAAGCAAACCATACATAAATCAATTTTCCCAATTTTTAAAGAATAAAATGTTGTATATAATCAAACAAACTATGTTTGAACTATGTTTGTAGCCTATAGAACAGCAGAAATAATAGTGCTGCCTTCGTTACTGCAGTAAACAAAGCAGTGTGACATCAAGTATAGCAAGATTTTTTCTATTCATAAACTATACACCATCCCAAAATTTCAAACTTTAGCAAACAACAATAATTATACAACTGTATAATCAAAAATGATGCAACATTTAACACCTTGTAACCGCATTAAGACTTTTTAAGGGTCTTAAGTTTCTCTAAATTGATTTATCAACTTTTAATACTGTGGGGCGATGCAGTGGCGCAGTAGGTTGTTCTGTCGCCTCACAGCAAGAAGGTTGCTGGGTCACTGGTTCGAACCTCGGCTCAGTTGGCGTTTCTGTGTGGAGTTTGCATGTTCTCCCTGCATTCGCGTGGGTTTCCTCCAGGTGCTCCAGTTTCCCCCACAGTCCAGAGACATGCGGTACAGGTGAATCGGGTAATCTAAAATTGTCCGTAGTGTATGAGTGTGTGTGTGGATGTTTCCCAGAGATGGGTTGCGGCTGGAAGGGCATCCACTGCGTAAATAAAAAACATGCTGGATAAGTTGGCGGTTCATTCCACTGTGGCAACCCCGGATTAATAAAGGGACTAGGCCGACAAGAAAATGAATGAATGAACTTTTAATACTTTTTAGGACCCCGCAAACAACCTGATATTGGAAACTGAAAGCCATTGACTTTCAAAGTATTTGTTCGCTTGTTTTTTTGTACAGATGTGAATAGCTGGTTTCAAAATATTCTACAGAATGTCTTCTTTAACAGAAAATGGAAAATAATAAAAACTACTTGATGCTGCG